GATAGGTATTTGTTATAACGTTGATCACTATATTCTTTTATTAAATCATAACTTTTAACTAGTAAAATGTCTGTATTGCCGTTGATCGTTTTATGCCACGACGTTTTTCAATTTCTGCATTGGCGTTGATCGTTATGCTACGTCGTTTTTCAAAATTCTGCTATGGCGTTGATTGTAATATGCCATGACTTTTTTGTTTTAAATATCTTAAATATCTGACAATACGTTATCCGTTTTATGCCACAAGATTGTTCATGTCTTTGGACGACACTTCCAATTGCGTGAAATCTAAGAGGACACGGCGACTTGGCATGTAAGGTCAACTCTTCTTTGTGTAGGGAGATGATAACAACTGAAAACTATAGACCTTTACGGATAATTCTAACTACAGAGAACATTTACGTCAACTATTAAAATGAATTGCATGCCCCGTCACGTTATGTTTATAAAAAATGGGTATGCCAAAAACATTTTTTTTTTCAGATGGACTTGTCAAAAATAATCAAAACATTAAAAGATAAGTTTTATAAGTTTACAATCTTATTCTATAACAAACCGTTAAGATGGTTTGACATTTGTAGCATAGTTTTATCATAGACACATCGACCACATAGAAGAATGTATTGATAGTGAATATTGATAGCGATGGCCTCTAATAAAAAATATATTTCAAAATATTTAGATTTTATCAAAAATGCCCTAAATATCTTAATTACCATGTCAGAAAAACGTAGTCTAAGTATTTAAAGATTTTTGTCTGTTATCTAATAAAAAACTAAAACACCTTGATATCAGTCAAGAACAAGGGCACATATTGGGAAAAATAGAATGGTCTATTAGGAAAAATAAAATGGTTTATTGTTGTTTAACAAGAATACTGACAAAACGTTTAAAAGGAAACAGTAATTAATTTTCTTCTTCAATAAAAAGTCTGATATTTTATCACAAAAATCAAAACAGGGCATGAACATGTCCCAAACAAATGTTTCTTTATTGAAAAGGAATTCGTAAACAGACATGCAATTTTATTCAGTATCGCAAGATACGATATTTAAAATCGGATCAGATTTCGATCATTAATAACGAAATCATGTGTATATGAAAGGGAATTGTGTCTTTTAAATGCCCATTGGAGTAATATACCAATATAAGCCACGATCTATCTAACGGTGAATATAGATTTGGAAGACTAATTGACTTCGAGCCATTTGCTTTTTCTTATTTTACATCTTTGATGTTTATGCATATACTAGACTGATTTGCAAAGCATATAAACAAGTTTGTCCGTGTCAAGATAGATTTGTTCTAAGCATATGTAATCGTTTGACCTAGGAGAATAGACTCTTTTGTTCTTGGCATATATAATCGTTTGCCCTAGGCATATACACTCTTTTGTCCTAGGCATATATACTCGTTTTTCCTTGGAGAAAAGACTCTGTTGTCCTGGTTATATATACTAGTTTGCCATAGGAGAATGAATAGACTGTTTTGTTCTGCGCATATATTATCGTTTGGCCTAGGAGGGAGAATAGACTCTCGTCCTGGGCGTATATCCTCGTTTAACCTAGGAAATAGACTCTTTTGTTCTGCGCATATATGATCGTTTGGCCTAGGAGAGTAGACTTTCGTCCTGTGCATATATACTCATTTGACCTAGGAGAATAGACTCTTTTGTTCTGGGCATATATAATCTTTTGTACTAGCATATTCACTCTTTTGTCCTGGGCATATATACTCGTTTGACCTAGAAGAATAAACTCTTTTGTTCTGTGCATATATGATCGTTTGTCCTAGCATATTCACTCTTTTGTCTTGGGCATATATACTCGTTTGACCTAGGATAAGTGACACTTTTGTTCTGGGCATATATGATCGTTTGTCCTTGCATATACACTCTTTTGTCCTGGGCATATTTACTCGTTTACCCTAGGAGAATAGACTCTTTTGTTCTGGGCATACGTGATCGTTTCGCCTAGGTATATACTCGTACACTCTTTTGTCCTGGGCATTTATACTCGTTTGCCCTAGGAGAATAGACACTTGTTTTGGGCATATACACTCTTTTGTCCTGTGCATATATACTTGTTAATCCTAGAATAAAACTCTTTTGTCCTGGGCATATACATGTATGATCATTTGTCCTAGGCATATCCACTCTTTTGTCCTGGATATTTATACTCGTTTGCCCTAAGAGAATAGACTTTTTTGTCCTGGGCATACACTTATATACTCATTTGCCGTAGGAACATATGGCATATATAATCGTTTGTCCTAGGCGTATACACTTTTTGTTCTGGGCATATATAGTCGTTTGTCCTAGGAATATACACTCTTTTGTCCTGGACAAATATACCTGTTTGTCCTAGAAGAATAGACCCTTTTGTCCTAGGCATATATAATCATTTGTGGGCATATATAATCATTTTTCCTAGACATATACACTTTTTTGTTCTGGGCATATATATTCATTTGTCCTAATAATATAGACTCTCTTGTCCTGAGCATATACACTCATTTGTCCTAGGCATATACACTTTTTTGTTCTAGGCATATATAAGCATTTGTCCTGGACATATACACTTTTTTGTCCTAGGCATATACACTCTTTTGTCCTGGACAAATATACCCGTCTGTCCTAGAAGAATAGACCCTTTTGTCCTAGGCATATATTATCATTTGTCCTAGACATATACACTTTTTTGTTCTGGGCATATATATTCATTTGTCCTAGAGATAAAGACTCTTTTGTCCTAGGCATATACACTCGTTTGTCCTAGGCATATACACTTTTTTGTTCTGGGCATATATAATCATTTGTCCTAGGCATATACACTTATGTCCTAGGAGAATAGACTCTTTTTTTAACTGGGCATATAGACTCGTTTGTCCTAAGCATATAGCCTTGTTTGTCCTATGCATATAGACTTGTTTGCCCTCAGATGCTCCTTCGTGCATATTTTAGCCACGAACAGGGGCACATGAGTAGAACCACCGATGTTCTATAAACTACCTGAAAGAAGAATTCAAAGTACCTTCGCGGATTCAAACCTCAAGTGGTGATGTGCAAGTATTTTGGTAGTCAAAGACCTTAACCACTTGGCCACGGATGCCTCTGTTTTAAAAAAGGAGATAAAAAACACAAAGACTTATCCATCACATATCATAATCTATAATTGCAGGTTTAGAAATGATACAAATATGGGATTTAATGACATTATCATCAAGAAAAACAAACTCTTATAAAAAACCATACATATAACACATTAAAACATTCACATCGGTAACATTTGAAAAATACAGGGTTATTTTAATTATCTTCTAACACAATACTGAAAAATAACTGTTCTAATACATGTACTTTTTAAAAATTACAATATTTTTTTTAAAGAATATCAAAGAAATTTGATAAATGAGCCACGCCATGTCACAATATAAAATGTAAACTGACATTTCAATGAAATCATTAAAATTACAAAAAGACCTTGCAATTTCAAAATTACAAAGACATACTTCATGGTTTATTTATTCCTATATAATAATAAACAATCCTTTAATTTATATAATTTACTTTACAAATAGCCCGTGAAGAAAAGTGTCACGTCAAATTTTAACTATGACACTGTTTTTCTTCTTTTACACTTAATGTAAAATAAAATTGCTCAAGTAATTGGAGGTGAAATTGCACCTAAATTATTTTGTAATTGCACACAATATTCGCACAATAGAGCCAACTTTAAACATAAAACCTTAAAGGGACTACACTGAAGTGTTTTGACTTGACGGGACTTGAAATTTTTTTCCGAAATTTTTGTACCAATTGATGTAGGTCTAGCCCAAAATTTCAGATCATTCCTTCACCCCGTTTTTCCAGAATAATACGTTTTACTGTACAAAAAGACCCAGTAATAAAAAGCATTGAAACTCTTTACATCTAACATCGAGCTAAGAACAACAGCACAAAAATCTATCTTCAATTGAATTTTGAGTACATTTCTTTATAATCCTTTGAATAACTTTCAATTTAAGTGTTCTGCATAATCTATTTAAAAATTTCAAAATTTACGTTTTTAGGCTCTTTGATGTCAGCGGAGCCTCTTTAAACTTTTGCATTTATCAGTGCATGTCACAGACCATGGTAATTAAGTGAAATAAACACACCACTTTCACACAGTTATTATTTAATTCAACAATGTAGAAAGTATTAAAGGGAACCTTCTTTTAAGTTACAAAGATATACCCTTGTTTTCAAACAAAATTTTATTTTGCCAGTACCTAAAAATTATTTTTGGTATCTGATATACAAATCTGATAATAATTCTCCTTAAGTAAAAAATGGGCAAAGTAAACCAACCTAATTAAAATACCATTATTCCACATTGAATTGAAAAACTTGGAAGACTGCCAAAATAACAATCAAGTCTATGTTATCTAATTAAGATAACAGTCTTCCAAGATTTCTTTATCAGGCCAATATTGAAAATTCAAAACGTTAAAAGTCATCTAACAGTTTTGTTTATCCTATCAATATAGAAAATTCATTAATTGATTATAATGATTTTTAACTAAAATCACTGCCAAAACTAGCTATTACAACACTATCTATGACAGCTATTATAACACTTAAAGTACAGCTATTATTTCACTTACAGAACAGTTATTATTACACTTAGGAGAAATATTACACTTGCAGAATATCCGTATTATAACACTTAGAGAACAGCTATAATTACACTCAGGAGAATTATTACACTTGCAGAATAGCTTTTCTTTCACTTAGGGAACATCTATTATTACACTTAAAGAATAGCTATTACTTCTGTAAAGAAACAGCTATTATTATGCTTAGGAAGTAGCTATTATTACACTTAGAGGATAGCTAAAAATTTCACCAAGAGAACACCTATTTGAATTTGAAAACAGCTTTTAAAACATTTTGAGAACAAAACATTTACACATTTATAGAACTTTCTATAAATACACTTACAGAACTTTTTATTATAACACTTACAAAACAGCTATTATTACACTTACATAACAGCTATTACTACACTTATGGTTTTATGATTCAACAGTTTCATAAGAAATACTGACATAATGATAAGGGTTTTTTTATCTTGAGAGAAAAAAAATATGAAAAACAACAAAGACAAGGCCAACCAAACTAATTGTTTGTTAAAAACACTCTTTTCACCATGAATTTGACATACAGAATTATTCATTGTCATCTTATAGGTCTTAAGAGTCCTTCAAAAGGAATTAGAAATCATTCAATTTTTATTTTGAGGCTTTTTTTGTTACAAGTTTTTTTTGCAACAAATAAAATCTTTTTTCTTTTGATAGAAATTAAGAATAATAGTAGCAATTATGGAGCCCCCAAGCCAGTCCTGTCCACAGTATTGCTTTGACAGAAAATTATCTATACTGAAGGCATGACCAAAAAGGGCCATAACTCAGTCAAATTCCATGTTATAGTTATGGGCCTTGAAGAGTCAATTTCTATTATGCTCCTAAATAAGTGTTTGAAGTTTTAACCTATTCCATTCAGTAGTTTATTTGTCAGAGCACTATAACAGTGGTTAAAGCATTGAAAACAAACATATTTGTTTGGTTGGCCTAATTATAAATAAGACATAGATATGAACAATTTACAACCGTGTGTTACATAAATTATGCTAGTCGTATTGTACAGTCACCTACAGTTTCGAAATATTTACAAAACGTCTATAATTTAACGTACAGGAATTCTACATTTTAATAACAGATTTCACATTGAATAATGAATATAACAAATAACAGATTTTATAAGAAGTGTCGATTTAAAGCGAGCTGTAATACATGGCGCCAACTGTCGGCACTTAGCACTGCATCCCGTAAAATAGAATATCCCGAAAAGAAAAAAGCACCTGTTAATATACACGTTTGCAATACTGGCATTTAGTTAAGCAGTAATCTATGCAAGTAAAAAGCATACACCTAATAATATAAAGAGTATATTTCATAAATTTTATAATAATGTCATGGTATGAAAATCTTTTATGCACCAAATTGTTTATCATCCATAAAACCTATTATAACAGAGACTGAACATAAAATACTAGATGTATTATGGTTTTATGTAAATCAAATATCATTTCATACAACAATTAATAATACAGAAGATAAAGTATAAATGAACTTTGGTCTTATTTTCTTCAAGTAGTAACATTAACTGTAATATTTTCTATAACAGTCAAAAGAAACAATCAAAAGAAATAAGTTTTTGAAAACTTTAAATTTAATCTGAACCCTCCTAATTTTGTAAAAATGGACTTCTGCTTTCAATTTGGAACAGTCCATTTATAGTTTAAGGGATTTCAGATTCAAAATATGTAAAGAAGTTTACTACAATATAAAAATCTAGATCCTAGACCCTCAGAATAGGGTTCCGCTCTACTGATCGAGCTTATCCGGCTGCTTACACACTATCTCCCTTAAATAGTGAACAGTACTAAACTCGAATCAATCAACAATAAAAAACCATAAATTCAATTGCCTCAAAGATAAATTTTTTTACTTGATCACTTAATTTATAGAACCATTCTGCTTATCAAAAAGTCAAACTTGTATGTCTGAATATCTATTTTTGTTGATGGAATCTGATTATCATTATTTTAACTAAAAATCTTTTCTCAAGGGAAACAACTCTGAATACATATATGTAATAGGAAGTTCTGGTTGGCTTTGACACTTTGAATGATGAAAAGAAAACACTGAATATATATCAAAATGTTTTTACACTATGCACAGTTCTGTGTAAAATGTATATCATTTATTAACTAGTCAAGCAAATAAAAACTTTATAAATTACCAAAATTTACTAAATGGACTTGGTTTTCCATGAACCTGGAACAGTCCATTTTGTAAAAGAAAGGATTTCAGTATTAAATAATAAAACTTGAGCTTAGGGGCTTATCAGTCAGGCCTTATATACAGAACTGTCTGACTCTGTATGGGCGGCCTTTGCAGGTTTGCATTATTGCCAAAAGCATTCAAACAGTTAAAAAAATGTAAAATAATAAATATGTTTTGTAATATACTCCTACAAACACTGCCCTTACTTGTCATCTTTTAAACTTTTTTCTTCGAAAATAATAACAAGCCCTGTTATTGCATTGTTGTTTTATTTTGATTGTTGCAATTCATGAACAGAGTACAACTTTTATATTTATAAAACCAATGTTTATTTCCCTTTTATTGTGATTTAATAAAAGCTGTTTACTCCTACACTTCTTTGAGAAAATTCAAACATCATTTGGGCGTTTTTTGAATGGACTATGACATAACAGTGATTATTAGGGAGTGAACGGTCATAATTTTTTTACTAGGGATCAACTGTCCTAAAAGAACGCTTATTAGGGATTGTATTTTCTGAAGGGGCATTTATTAGAGATTTAATCAACTGAAGGGGGGTGCTTATTTAGAAATTCATGGTATCAATGCTTTGCAGCTGATTAGATTTTTATAGAAAAAAAAAATGTTTGCAGGCATATAAAAGCACACAACAAAGAACAGCTATTGCATCATGGTTAAGCATACATCTATGGTTTAAACAAAATGCATAAAACAATGATCAAAATGGATTTGCAGCATACAATATACATAATAGTACCTACACAAACTGTACATATTGCCTTCAAAAGTAAAAATTTACCATCAATTAAGGTGAAATGTCATTTTAATAATCCCTAATACAGAAATTTCATCTGAATAATTATACGAAAGCAAGCCCAGTTTAGACGTCAGCCTTTGTCTAGTTGTTTAAAGAAAAAGCCAATTTTTTTATCGTAAGAAATTTCACGTAAATATTAAATTGAAAGCTCTTTAAAAATCAATAAACGCAAATTCGAATTACCATCCCAATAAGTTAATATTTCATCATTTCCAAACATAAATTATATCATTCAAAAATTCAGAAAAGAAAAAAAATTACCAAAATTTCAAAATAATAACAAAAACGTTACTACAATCTTTTCAAATTGTTACAAAACATTTTCAAAATCAACTGACAATGTATCAGAATGAATCATAATGCCTTTACATAAAAGTCATATGACAATATGAATAAAATTTCAATTTTAAATTAAAATTTCCATATCTTTTCTATGAAATGCAATATCCTGTCGTAACAGGTTGATTTATTATCACTTATAAAATGCACTACAATAATTATAGTCATGAATTATGCGGCAACAATAGAAAAACAAACTTCGCTATCCATTCTCCATCCCAAAATAACAGGGATGAAAATATTCTAAAAATGTTTTAAGTGTAGTAAGCCGAAGAAAAAAATAACTGGCATCGGAAGATCTGTATCTTCATTGTCAATAGTACAAAATATAGCCACAATGTCATAAAACAAACAAAAGATTTTTTCGTTTAATAATTCCTTTAAATGCTTGATAAAATCAAAATTCTTCACGATGATAAATATGAAATTTGTACTCTACTTTTTAAACCTTTCCCTTCCTCAATTTAAATGATATGAAAGATTGCTTAGAATAAGGCATTACCCATTGTATGTTTAAACAAGATGTGCATATATTATAGTTTTGGAGGTTTGCATTTTAAGTTACATCTACACCTAAAATGTTGTATAGCGACCTTCCAGATTCACATGCGAAGGATGATCTCAGGTGCCCCTCCATAAATTTATTATTTTAGGCTTGAGGGGGCACCTAAGTACAACCAACCTCCATTTATCTTACACACATGGAAGTCTTTCTTTGTTGTTGTTGTTAGATTTTTATGTTGTACCAACACAGTATAGGTCATATGGTGACTTTCCAGCTTTACTGGTAGAAGGAGACCTCAGATGCGCTTCCGTGCATTATTTCAGGCACGAACATGGATGTGAAAATACTAAATTTCAGCAATAACTTTATACGTTCTGATAAGACTATGAATAAATTCCCACCAGAGTGCAGAAACAGGTTAACTCCTATCAACTTTATAAGGAGTTAGCCCATTACTGCACTTAGGTAATGACATAGAGGCACATCTTACTACACTATAACAGAAATTTTTCTCATATCATCTTCAGTAATGAAATAATAAACACTCTTTTGTATCTATGAAATTGTTGCACAAAAATTTACTACAGTCATAATAATAAATCAAAGACAGGTGGCAGCACAAGTCGTAAAATTAGCCGCTTTAGTGTCACACACAAAAACAATTTTCTAGCAGACGTCAATTATTTTTTTACTTCGGCTCTACACGTTTTATTGCACATTATCACCCAATATGTACAGCATAGCATTTTATTATATGTCATATATATATATTACATAACACTGTACACAATTTCTATAGTTGCCATTATTCCATTTTTCTCCTTAGCCAAAATATATAAAAACATTAAAGGGATAAAAAGCAAATAAACAAAATCCTGAGACAATGAAAAGAAAAAAACAAAAACTTTAAAAGGTCACTCTATTAGTTTATAATGGCAAGACATTCCATCAAAAATCATTTTTCTCTACAATATAAAATTAGTAATTTCAAGGACAAAAGACTGAAACATTCACTTAATTTTGTGGAATTGAAATTTTGTGTTTTTGTTTGTAGGTTCTTAAATTTGTGCAGTTTTTTTTTCCTAAAAATAAAATCTAAATAATGTGATGCAAAATAATCTTACAGCATTAAAAAAGGAAATCATTTGTGGATTGACCTATCCACAAAAACCACAAAAATTAGTGCCCCCCGAATGATAATAATTTTGTAGTATTTATGTGAATGGGTCAAAGAGCACTGGCCTAAATTTTAGCATGCCACTTCTTCAGAGTGGGCCCCCTATTAAGCAATAACCTTTATAAAACAACTGTATCCTAGTAAAGTAAAACTTCCTAGAAAGTCAATTTCTAAGACTCTACAGTAACACCCCTTAGCAACAACCAAAATATTTGTCTCTCAAAGGGGTTCACTCTACTGAAGTTGTTCTGTATTATTCTCAAATATCATCAAAATCATTTATATACCTATAAATTGGTTTTGCCATAATAATTAGTGGTTTTTGCAACAGTAATTAGTGGTTTTGCCATAATAATAAGTGGTTTTTGCCACAAAAATTTGTGGTTTTGCTTTAATAATTAGTGGTTTTTCGCTAAAAAATTTATACAAACACAAAATAATGTACATGTAATAATAAAAAGCAGATATTTACAGAAACAATGATAAAAAACAGGGTTTTTGTGATGTTCTATTTCTCATATTCACAATCAAGACACACAATTTTTTTGTCCCCTCTTACTCAACTTCTTTCATCACCATTACACTATCTGTTTCATTTTTTCAATCCATGTTTTCTCTCCGACATACACTCTCTCTCACTTATATACACTCTCATTGCCATAGAATATTGTTTACCTATTCTTACCATGACTAAAACATCATGAACTTTGCAACATTACTCAGTATCTACTCGTCTGAGAAAAACAATTCCACCTTACCAATGCCATTTTGTTTTACTTGACTAATCATCAAACATCCTTAACTATAGTTGTTTTATAACCATGATCATTCTGTCTTTAGCAATTAGAACAATAGCCATGTCCTTGCTTATAAGAACAATAGTCATGTATTTGGCTATTAGAACAAAAACTATCTCCTTGGCTATAAGAACAATAGCAATGTCCTTAGCTATTAGAACAATAGCAATTTCAATTTCTTTTCCATTTCCTGATAGTTTACAAGCTTTTTTTTATTCACTTGAAATTTCACAAGATCTTTTTTATTAAAATTTACAAGCTTTTTACTGACTCTCTTCGCGTTTACAACTCTTTTTTAAGTTCTATTTTACTATTTGTGTTTACATGCTTTTTTTCTCCGAATACAAGCTTTTTCTAACTTCACATGACTTTTCAATGAATTTATTTTCACAACTTGACCATTCTAAGTCTTTTTCTTATATTCATGTCCTTTCTTTTACTTTTAACATCTTTTGCCACATTACATGCTTTTACAATCTTCTATAAGCAATGCTATACTAATAACACAGTCATGCAGTATCATCAGAACCTTGTTCATATACAGAGATCAAAACATTCTAGTATGAAAATAAATGCAAAAATGGAAGCCGAAGAAATGAGCAAAGTAAAACGAACATTGTCATGTTTAAAACTCTGTGGTCAGATCCAAATACCCTGATTTCTGTTTAAAGGCCCATTATGCCCCAGAAATGTTTTTATTTTTCAAAGCTTTTTAATTTTGGTGTACTTTTATTGTGTATAAAAAGTTACTTACTGTTCAATTATCTGAACCATCTTTTTTATCTGTTGCTTTTTGGCAATAAGTACAGTTACATGTATAGTGAAGTAGTATTTTATACGGAGGTCAAAATATTTTGCTACATTTATGACAAATTATTTCACATCTTTCACTACTTTCTTAGGGTAACAAGCAACTTTCGCTATAACCATTATCTTAAAGTTATGAAATTCATGTTTGACCTTTCTAAGGAAGTAAAAATTTGTTTCTGAGTCAGCCAATGAAGTCGATGTGCATTAAATGCTTTTAAGAAATAAACATAAAAGCATTTTTGAGGCATAATGGCCTTTAATATTCCATTCAGGTGATTATTTTTATATTAAAAACATGTATAATTTCTATGCTGTGACACATTTTAAACATATAACATACAGGCTTCATTATTTAATGAAAAATAATAATAATTTAAATAAACCTTTTACCTAAATTTCAAAAATGTTTTACAAATCTAAGTTTTAATCTAGGGTTAAAACCACTGCACTTTGAAGAATTTCAATTATGCTTACTTTTTGGTATTTAATCCACCTTTATGGTGGATTAATCAGGGTATTTAGTCTGCCTCAGAAAAAAAAGCCAATGGGGACCAGATGTACACAGAAACAGCCCCAATGTGCCCTCATGTCTATCAAAGCTGCCAAATGTCACTATCGTAAGAAAAACCTGTCACCACATCCGGTCATATTTTGCCCTTTGTCTCCGTTCTATGCGCATCTTTTGTCTAAATATGAACACAACGATTTTGACGAATAAAAAAACAATCTAGATCTCTATCAACAAGAAAAATTTGAACAAAAGTATATAAATAGACTATCCTAAACTCCTTTCAATATATACAGTTTCTTGCTAGTCTAGCCCCAAGTTGTTGTATTACTCCCAACACTTGTTACCGTCTTCGTCACCTTCGACATCATCCTGAATCACCAGGGGAGGTAACTATGAGCCAAACAATTGTCACTTTTCTCACCTCCTCCATGAAGAGTTCCAACTCTCACCTCTGTACATATCACAAGAGTTACCTCCCAAATTGCGGGCCAGAAAGTACATGTACACAGCTGTGTATATTGCACTCTGGACTTGTGTCTTGTTTCGGGTTTTGAATAATTTATAAATTATAAGTTGACTATATATATAACTATTGTATACAACTCTGAATTTTGTCTATCCACTCTTGAGCAGTCTTAAAGTCTGGAGCAAGAAAGTGGTATAATCTCCTAGTGGTTTTCATCTGAAATTATATAAAAAAGTTAAATTAGAGATATATTTCCAGAAATTCATTCCATTTATAAAATTATCTGTTTTGTGTTTAAACTTACATAGTTTCTAGCACATAGTTTCTAGCAAAAAAGACAGTAAAACACTTCTTATTTTTTCCCAGTTGGATCTGGTACTCCTGTGCAAGTGGTAAAGGTAGCAGACTTAACACCACTTGCCCCTTGTGGCTATGGGGTCGAATCTCATCACAGATTTTAGATTATTTTAATGTGAGGAAGCTATCCAGCTAGCTTACAAAAGGTCAGTGGCTCCACCAGTAAAGCTTGAAAATTGCCATGAACTTTATTGTGTTGGTGTGACTCAAACCTAATCAAACATACATGTAGTTGGATTTTCAGTCACATTGACAACTGGAAGAACATATGGTGACATTCAAGCTTTACTGGCAGATAACGACAGATACCACTAAATCCATTTTTCAAGCATGAGAAGGCACCTTAGTAGAACCGCCGACCTTCAAGCTAGCTGGATAACTTCATTTAAGAAATGAATTCAAAGTACCTAACAAAGATATGAACCTTCAGCACAGATTGGCGTGTAATTCTAATAACAATTTCATACCATAACTACCTAGCCTAGTCACTCATTTTTAAGGGATCAAGTTCATTAAATGTCTGTTGTTTTTATTTTTAACTTTGCATCTTTTAATTCTATTGCAGTTAATAATCTTGGGACCATTTCCAAGGGTAACAAACATACCTCAAAGAAGCCACCTTCGTCGCCTTTCTTTGGTGCGCCCTGTATGTGTTTGCCGCCACCTCCCATTGCCTTAACAGATTCAACCTCCGACAGATCTATAAAACCTTTCATTGCAGTATCCTCTGTTGAATCGTACCATCGCAACTGAAAAAATTCAAACAATTTTCATGGTGTTTGTTTATAAGTACAGATAATAAAGTTGAAAATTAATTATTAACCATTTATATTGATGGGCTGAAAGTAACACTGAGAAACACTGTAAAGGCCATAGGGCTTTCCAGTTTTACTGGTGTAGGAAGACTTTAAATACCCCTAGTGGATTATTTTTGGCACAAGCAAGCACCAGAGTAGAAAAACCAAACTTCCTTAAGCTAGCTGGAATGTTTCCTCAAGTGAAAGAATCCAATGTTCATACAATAATGCTTCAAAATTACTACAAGATGATGTAAACAAGAGGGCCATGATGGCCCTGAGGTCGCTCACCTGTATATAGGCCCCCAAGCGGGGCCAGTTTAAACCCAAGGGCTTTTATTTGAACAAACTTGGAATTAAGACACCCATTAGAAGATGTTTCATGATGTTAAGTTTTTGCTATACACATATAAGGAAAAACAATGACCTTCCCCCCTCCCCCAACAGAGTTAATTTTAACCCAAGGGCTTTTATTTGAACAAACTTGGTAGACACCCATAAGAAGATGTTTCATGCTAAAAATCTAAGCTCTAGCTCATTAGGTTTTTTAAAAGAAGATTTTTTAAGTTTTTACTATACACATATAGTTAAAAACAATGACACCCCTGGGGCGGGGCCAGTTTTGACCCCAGGGCTTTTATTTGAACAAACTTTGTAGACACTTATTAGAAGATGTTTCATGCTTAATATCTAAACTCTAGCTATTTGGGTTTTTTCAAAGAAGATTTTTTAAGTTTTTGCTATACACATATAAGGAAATCAATGACCCCCGGGGCGGGGCCAATTTTGACCCCAGGGCTTTTATTTGAACAAACTTTGTAGACACTCACTAGAAGATGTTTCATGCTTAATATCTAAACTCTAGCTATTTGGGATTTTTTCAAAGAAGGTTTTTTAAGTTTTTGCTATACACATATAAGGAAAATCAATGACCCCCGGGGCGGGGCCAATTTCGACCCCAGGGCTTTTATTTGAACAAACTTGGTAGACACTCACTAGAAGATGTTTCATGCTAAATATCTTAGCTCTAGCTCTTTGGGTTCTTTAAAAGAAGATTTTTTAAGTTTTTACTATATGCATATAGGGAAAATCAATGACCCCCTGGGGCGGGGCCAATTTTGACCCCAGGGCTTTTATTTGAACAAACTTGGTAGACACTCACTAGAAGATGTTTCATGCTAAATATCTTAGCTCTAGCTCTTTGGGTTCTTTAAAAGAAGATATTTAAAGTTTTTTCTTTCGGTTGCCATGGCAACCAGAGTTCTGCATGGAATTAAATTCTTTGAACAATTTTTAAAGGTGACCACCAAAGGAACATTCCTGTGAAGTTTGGATGAAATTGGCTTAGTGGTTTATGAGGAGATGTCATTTGAAGCAAAAGTTTACGGACGGACGGCGGACGAAAAGCGATCACAAAAGCTCACCCTGTCACTTTGTGACAGGTGAGCTAAAAAATCAATGACATAGTTTTGAATGACGGCCAGTAACAATAAGACGTACCTGATGTTTCATGGAATCCAGCACAAACCAGCGTTGTTTCCAGCCTTTAAGCAACGCGCCTTTCTTGTACAGGTATCCATCATGTGTTCTATGTTCGCCTGAACTTGAGCCGTATCTCTCGTACATCGCAGGGGTCGTATGGGAGGCTAAGTAAGAAATATTATACAGTTACAATATATATATCAACAATATAAGTAACATTCTTAAAACTGTTTTAATTGTTTACAACTGAATCCTACAGCCACCCACTACCCTACATTAAGCTCATTTGCATTCGATAATCAAATAGTGGTGGGTGGTGTTAACAGAAATACTAGATGACGTCGACAGGGGTGTAACAGTTAAAAATGTTGACAGGTCAACAGTTCATTTCATCACTGTGCATGCACAGGATTTCAGAGGTTCAATTAAACAGTTATAAATATGGAATCAGGTAATAATAATACTTAACTCTGTTTATATTTTTTAATGGTTCTTTTCTACATGATTCATCTTAGTCTTAACCTTAAATGAAAGTTGTCTGTTCTTTAGTATAAACCATAACACAACCATAAACAAACTTTTCTTCCAATATTGATAGATACTCACTTCTCCTGTCCCCCCCACCATGTACCGAGCTCGCCTCAGATCCACTCGGTTTAGAGAGACTGGAATTACTGGTGCTAGCATCACTGACTGTCTTCAGTTTCGTACAATTCTTTGGTACATTTGGCATACACTTCTCATGGCAATTATAGCCACAGTCTGTACAATGCATTCCTGTAATACAAGGGAGGTTATTCAATTTACAGTCAATATATTCATTCCTGTAATGAAAGGGAAATTATTCAGTTCAATTGGTACAGTGCATTCCTGCAATTTAAGGGAGGTTATTCAAAAACCAAGTTTCCACACTGTATTTCTGTAAACAGAAAATGATAAAATACAATCTGAACAATTTATATCTTATTATCAAAGGGAGGTAATTCAATTTACAATTTATACATTGAATTCATCTTATGAAAAAAGAGGTAATTCAATTCAATCAGTTCAATGCCCATTTTCAATGGGAGGTAATCAAACTGAATTACAATAGTTATTATTTATATAATTATTTTCTTAAAATGTGTTTCCAATCTCTAAAATGTTTAGTTTTTTATAAACTAAACAGGTTATCCCCAAATCAAAAATTAATTTCTTTCAAAGTTGATTGGTTAACAGATCTGATTTGAAGAACTGAAATAAAGTTTTTCAAAATTTGCAAAAACAATGCGACAAAATGCAATGTAAATTCTTCACTACATTCATAAACTTCTAAAGATTGTTCTGGCCAGAAAGGTAAATAATCGATAAAATTAAATTTAATTTTAAGCTTACCTGTCTTTGTCAAGCCCCACAGGACATTAGAGCAGAGGTCACAGTAAACAGCTGTTGTGTACGTCCACTCCTCAAACCTGTGCGGCTGACCGAACATACGGGCAGCCTCGCCGAGCATCTTGCCCTTGACCAGAATCTCTAGAGTTGACCGTTTATGTATGGACCGACCATGCGAACGAGCCAACTGCATGTTGAATGAGAGTTGACGAGGTAACGACGATGCGTCACGACCTGGATGCTGCAATTTATCCCAGAATACCTTCCATTTCCTGGGTAAGTGACCAAGATCATTCTCCAGCTTATTGATTTCCTGTTACAGTAAATAAAAGAAAAGTTGCATTGGCTTTACATTCAAATTGCTTTTTTACATTCATATTTCATAGGGCTTTTAACCTATAAATACAAATGAAAATATTATCTTATTTTTTACGTTACTTTTTTCATGGTCTTTGAGCAGATTTTAATACATAATTTTAGTCATGACTCTGCAATGCATCCACCTAACCACCTGCCCTGGATAACTTACTAGTATATACCAATTTCTCTGCAAGTGACCAGATGATTAAAGTACTTATCCCATGATTTCTGAATCAGTTATGACCATTACATTGACTGTCATAGAGAAATTATGCCTCAAAATAAGTCATTCATTTACAGAAAATCTAACATAGATAACAAATACATTTAATATAAAATCTCTTTCCGAAGCATAAATCGGTCAAGTTATTGATCACAAATAATGAGAAAAAAATTTCATTCCCTATTATTAATACAGGAAAAGTTCTTTTTACCTGATACTGCCAGCAGAAGTGGTCAGGTTGTTGAATCATCACGTTGTCATAGCAACCATTGATGATCTTCCTCTGCTGCTGTCCCATCATCTCTAGCGACTCACTGTCCTCGTTTTGTCGTATCTCACGATGAACAATCTCGATATCGTATGACGGTCCATGTGCAAGATCTTCCGTAGTGTAGTAATCCCAGAGCTTCAGGTTCGAGAGATATGAATATGGCCGCAACACCTAAAATTTAACTTTTGGATAATAACCTCAAAACAAAACGAGATGACAAGTTTCCAGACATTGTGTATGGCTGTGCACATTTTGTAAGATTTACTTTAGTATGGTTAACAATACAGGTTTTCCCAAAACAACTTCCTAAGACTAGGGTTTTGACATCTCTTTTATATTTTCAATTCAATTTTAAATTAAACACAATCAGACCGATACATGTACTCAATTTTAAACATTTTCTGCACGATAAAACCCAAAATGGCATTGCCTGTAAGAACCAAATGCTTTTGAATTGCTACAACTAAATCATGTTAACTTTCTCTGAGTCCAAAAAAAACGAACATTTTCTGTGCTAGTTATAAGCAATTTTTTTATAGCTTTACTACTCAGTCAAAAATCAACATTTAACTCACAATGAAGAGGGAAATATACATTGTGCTTCTAATCCTTCACTTCTCCCAGAGAAATAATCATTATTAATCTTGGAAAACTATTTTTTGTGCTTTTTTTGGACAGGTCAATTGAAGAATATAAAATCCAATGAAATTTTATTTTGTATGCTGTACAAATATTTTGCAAAACATTATATACGTTTTGGAAAAATGAACAGTCCACGAGTTTAAGAACCTAGGAAAATGTTCTTTGTGTCAAATCCACGAAATTAAGTGAATAAGGACCTTACCGTATCTTGTTCTCCAGGGCTGTACATAAAATTATAGAATATTGGAGACTTCCTATGATGTTTCTCTATGTACTCCCACAATGATGCTCCTACATTGCTCTGTTGTATATGCTTCGTAGAAAACCCCGCCTCCTCCTCGAAATCGTCCAATTGGTACATCTTCTTCCCCTCCAACAGCCAACCAGCTTCCATACGCTCAAACTCATTGTCCATCATGAAAGTTCGAAACCGACTGGACACATAATGATAAGCAAGAAACTTCAGGAAGTACTGGTTAAACTCAAAAGAAAGCGGGAACTGGCTGTGTACCTAGAAAAACAGAAGAAAATTTGTTTAAAGTCTACATATTTTCACATTCAAACCTGACAATTACTTAACTTTCCATTCCTTTCATATTTTCAATGGGTTTTAAAGTACATTCTTAAGGTCACATGACAACTTGTCAGATCTGTACTGAAACAAGACAATGACCACATGACCCCAAAGTTGAGAGGCAGAAACCCTGACCACTAGGCCACTGCTACATGTATCATCCCATACCTTTATAATGTTTATATGACTGCTTTAGTTCAACTGTGTAAGAATCTATGAGCTTATCAAAACACTCTCAATTCCATTCCTTGAACTACCCAGTACTTAGCAATGAGTGTAAAGACTCTTACTAAAGGAAACAACAGCTTGCCCAATGTGGTCAACAATCTCTATATAACTAATTTGACACATTTACTACTTGATCATGCTTCACTCATCCTATTAAGGTAGATAGAAAACAAATTTATCACACCAACCTGGTGTATAACATCCAGGAACTGCAAGAACACTGGAGCGAAGCCGCTTGCCTGGTTGGCTTGTGTCTGATTACTCCGATGTGTGAACCTGTGTCCGAATGCCAGCCACTCCTTCTCTATGAGCGCGCGAAACCCTTCCATAGTGCGGTAATAAGGATCTAGAAGAACCTCGGCTACTGACACAACCTGGGTCGTGATGTCCCAACCGTCCTCCAGACAGATCATTACAGACGAGCCCTGTACATCTAAGAGGTCAACAGTAGCGCCTGCTAGTTGTAAAACGTTCTGGATCTGTATAAGAGAAAGAGCAATGCAACAAAAATGTACATACTCCGATATTCTTTTAAACTCACGGAGGCATCAAATTATTAAAATTACCTTTTGTTAAGTTCTTTAAATAGGTCTTTATTACCAAAATGCCTCCTAAATCTGTATTTTTTTAAATACTTTAGTATTGTCAAACATGTGTTTAATAATGTTTAATAATAGATTTAGAGCATGTCAGATACTTAGCAACTAAAGAATGTAGAGCTTAACATGCAGTAATGTGTCGTATAAGCAAAATGTAAAAAGTATGCTGACTACCATACAAAATATTAATTCACTATATCAAATTTAAACCAATTGCCATAAGAGAGAAATAAGCAAAAGAAAATTCATGTATATGGCAAATGAGTATTTTTTGGAAACTACAAGATACCAAAAATAAAGTTTTTGAGTAATAAAAATGACAATGATTAAGGCATAATGGGCCTTTAAATGAGATTAAATTGTCTTTTATCATCAAATTACCTCATGAATAAGCAGATAATTTTTACAAGCCAAAAAGTTCTTAACATACCTGTGGCAGCCATCCGGATTCCTCCACTGCTTTATGAAACGAGGCATCTGGTCCTTGTGTCGAGCTGGGTACACATGCGCGTGACAACTTCTTAAAACTTGCCTTCACATGCCTCACTTCATAGAAATCAACTGGTATAAAGTCACATTTGGGAAATGATTCCAACTTCACACCCTGTAAAGGTTAAATCAGTTCCAAAATTCAATATATCACAGCAAGACTTTTTAAACATCATCTTAGCAAATGTGCCATTCTATACTGTTTTATACTGCTCTAGTTTTGTGTTTGATAAATGAAATCCCTTTATATTTGAATGGAATGTTTCAAATTAAAAGCAATTCCATTACACAAATTCAGCAGGCCAAGGATTAAAGATAACATGTCTATGGTCTATGTGTTTGCTTGTTATAGATCTTTTTTTTTTTCGTTTTGGTTTGGTTTTATATTTCACCAACACTGTAATGGCCAGTGTGGCGCCTTTCCATCATTCCTGGTGGAGGAAGACCTAAGGTGCCCTTCATTGCATTATATCAAGCACCAGCAGGCAGCTGAGTAGAACACATATCTTCTGTAAGCTAGCTGGATAGCTTCCTCACATAAAAGAGTACAAGAGTTCATGGTGAGATTTGAACCCACAGAGGCCAAACACCTTAACCACTTGGCCACAGATTATAGATCTAGTGTACAATCTTCAAATTGTTTAAGCAAAGATTGTACTGTTAAACTTGTTTAATTAAATGCACCTGTCTGGTAAACATTACAACAACTCAGTAATGCACTGACAACTACATAAAATTTAATGTATCAAGTATTCCAGACATAGATACTCACCTTCATCTGTGATTTTTCACCTAGTACATACAGGGAGACTTTCTTGAGGCCCTGTACCGAACTGTTAATTAGGTCACCTGTCCTCTCAAGGTCGCCATTCGGGTGCGAAAATCTGGCCGGGTCAAATGTACTCGTCTTAGACTTGTCCTTCACACTGCCGATTCTTGTAAGAGCTGTAAGAACAAATTGTTAAAGTGAGACCAAAGTAAAAGTAAGTAAATTCATAATTTCTCGTACCTCCATTTACCTTATTTTCCCTTATAAACACACCTTTGGACTAAAATTCATATAATACACTCAAAATAATGTTCAAGTCAAAGAATCAGTTTGGCAAATATGATTTCATTTACATTCTCAAATAAAATATATGTACATTCTATGCAATAATACAAAAAGGGGTTTTCCTTGTAGCATGGGCTATTATACGGGAAAACACGGTACAACAGATTCTGAAAGTTTTTTTCAAAATAAAAATAAGATATATATATTTTATATTGCAAATGATAGCTAAAAAATAAAGCATAGTAAAAAGAAATAGATAAAATTTTAGAAACTGAAACACATATCAGCCCTATAATGAAATTGTTTTTATCTGTGTTAACTAAGTAATGTTCTGAGAGAAAAATCTAATGTCTTAAATATTCTTTATTTTAACCTAAACTTCCTTCCACCTCTGATATTTGCTATTATTATATGTATGTGTACACTAAAACAAGTCCCTTCTCTTTCTACAAACACACCACCAAACACAAACTTAAAACACATAATTACATAGAAGCATTAATTTTTACTCTACACAAAATATATGCAATCTTATTGATTTTGCATAACATAATCTATTTTTATCACATCACTGTGTAATATGTTTCTCACGCAGACAACACAACCTGATCTATTCAATCAGCATTATTTAAACAAAAAGCTGTGTATAAGCTAAACTAAAACACATCTAAATATCATTCAGTTATTTTGAAGAAAAAAAAGGCAAGTTTTTTCTAACAACATTAGGCAGCCATGTTTTTACTCCTATTAATATGTGTAATATGAAGCAAACTTTTAATTACACACAAAGTTACACAGGATTAGTTTATAAACATATTCTTTTATATGTTTATTCTATCACACTTCATAGATTAACTTGCAACTCTTCATGAAATTTCATCTCCTTATCTTTTTATTTATTTTTTGTTACTTTTTAAACATCGATTTGCATATAAAATCATTCATTATCCAACAAAAATGATTGCTGCAAAAGTTTGAATCTAAAGCAAAGGGCTACTGACACCTCCCCACTCTTTTCCAAAGTAAGTAATATTAATGAACTTCGTCTTCAACCTTAATGAAAATACACAATGTACATTTCTAAAAATAATTGCAGCATTTGTGATATTTGCAGAATCTAAGTCCATGAAGGGTTGCAATCGACCTTACAAATCACTTAAAAGCTGTATATATACAGATAGAAAGAGTACTGTTAAAGACAATATTTGTGGGAAGGGGCTAAAAGGTTTCCTGTTTCTAGGAGATGCCAATGATCCTTCTACTATATGTCTTTAAAGAATTTTCATTCCCTAGAGTAGGAAGAATAGTTGTGGAAATGCTAGTCTATTTTTTAGTGGGTGATTATCATTATAGCTGTGGGCATGTCCGCAACTAAAAAATATATCAGAAGGCAGTATCAACATACTTGTAGCTAGTACAAAGTCGTAAGACGTGTTAATATTTTGACGGTGTCAAATTTGCTGGAAAAAAATTATTCTGAAGCTAAAAATAGAGCATCCAGTCATGTGACAGATTTCCAGTCATGTGACAGAAGTTGATGTGTTTTAAGTTAAAAATTTATTGGCACATGCACTATTTTTTGGGCAAACTTGTTTATTTTTCTATTCCTTCACAAGTGAATGGTTCCATACAAATACTTCTTATCATTTCATTTGCCAAACAAATTGTACTTTAACGGGTAATGCAGGCAGATAAAATTTTATCATACTTAATAACAACCGAGGTATTGGGAAGACTTTCCTTTAGTATGAATTTAATCAATTCTGTCTTTTCAGTGTTTAAAATTCAATTAATTACACTGACTTTCAAAACTCAGGGCCTTGAATACAAAGCCACTAAAAATATGGCATAATCAGTCTACATGATTTTGTAAGAAGGCCATACAAGCTAGGCTCTTAACTTTTGACTATACCCTGCAATTTTCAATGAAAATTCTTTCAGTTCAGAACCCTGTTACAAGTTATCATTAATTTATTCACAATTTTTGTTTTGGTTTTCATTTAAAAAATTAACGAAAATCTTTTCCCACACCCCTTTCGTTTACCAAGAACCACACACTTGTTAAAAGATAATTAGAAAGAAAACACGGCCCAGTTTATAATGCTGCATTCCCGAGCATAGTAAAATATAGGAGACTAATACTTGAAAAATATCCTCGAGTCCGTGGACGTCTTGGTAAAGTTAAAACTGAAACATGAAACAGTGAAAAACATAACAGATAAATGATCCCTTGTTCATACAAAAAATTTACCAGTAGGGACCTACACCATGTAATTCTGAGCAGGAACTGTTCTGAAAGTTTTCATTACAACTCTGCATGTCTTTATCAAGGGGGTCATACCATGTGCTCGCATCCTTAAAATTCTGGTACTGCGAAAACTTTTTCAACCGGTATTTTTGTTTTTGTTTGTCTTGTTTTACATGACTTGCTTTTGTTCCATTTAATACCGGTTGAAAAAGTGTTCGCAGTACCAGAATTTTAAGGATGCGAGCACATGGTATGACCCCCATTGTTTATACCATATTTCTTTTTTTTTAACAATTTATAGAAAGTTATGACAGTGTTGTGTGAAACTCTCATGTAACAGTTCAAAAAGGCTAGTACACATTGTAATATTGATATATCATCAGCTTAGTGCAATAACTGGCTAACTCGTATTAAATTTAGAACTGCACTAAGGTGACAATACACACATATATATATAGGATATGAGAAGACATTGAAATTCATGCATTTACATGTAGTATATACCAGCAGTTTGAGATTTAAACGTCAAAAAGTTTTCTGAAAGGTAAAGAATCAAGAAGCTTTTGCTTTAAGAAAAAGCTACTATAGCAATGACCTTTATTTACTCCAGAAATTTACTTGTTTTGCTATTTTTTGTTCACAGACATAATAAAGGTCATGGGACCAAAAACAAAGGAAAATACTCTTGATTTCTGCCACTTGCGTGATCGCTACACATTACCATTTATTTTATTTCATTTAAGAATTCATTATATGGAATAAATGAACGCTAAGTCAAGAAAATTAAAATTATAGAAAATATGATATGAATTTTAAAACTGAATTCATCTATGAACTATTTAACTCAATGAACCCAATTGAAGTAAGACACTCGAGAGTTCTAATCAACCCTATCTATAAAATTTTACTTTTTACCTTCACACTAAATGAAAATATAGCTATATTTGTACACCTGCCAATTTGGCATTCAATGTCTATCTTATGTCATGGAGATGTAGTATGGGAAATGTTAAAACTGTACAGCCATCAAAGTAATGTCTGTTTAAACAGCACAGATATTCAGACTGACTGGAAATATATACTAGTAACATATATATGCCATAATCACTACATGTACAAGAGCCATGTTAACATGGCCATCCCCCGCCGAATGTGTTCGCTCATTGGAAGAATGTATATGTAGTTAGAGCAAAACAATTCAATTTTAAGAGGTCTTTTCGTGATGAAAACTGATGGATGAAGTGATTACAGATTTGAAACCTATGTGAATACTGCTGGCTGAAAATAACAAAGGGCAATAACTGAAAAATTATGCACGGAAGAGTTATTATTCTTGTGCACTGCACTCCTCCTCAATATGATCTATCAACCTATGAAATTTCAAGTTGATACCACAAATACTTTTTGAGATACGCTCAGGACAAAAATGTCGGATGGAAGGACGGACAGAGACTATTTCTATATCCCCCGCCGCCTTTTCGGCCGGGGATAATAACCATTCAAACAATTTAGGTATAACCTTACTGCAGTAACAGGTTAACTTCCTATTTAATTATTTAAGGAAATAACCTGTTACAGCACTAAGGTGACAATATAATCTGAACATTTACACACAAAATTTTTTTTCTTCTCTTTATACTTACAGGCACAATATACAATATGAAATTTATGACAATGTTTTAGCATATGATAATGTAAACTAAAATGTATGTATACAATGATATAAACTTACAATATATCTACTATATAATTATATCTAAAAAACACTAATATCTCTTTTTACAAAAAATGTTATCTACTTTTTTAATGCACCGATATACATGTATTACAGACATTTTGTCCATACACTTAACACACCACAATCATTCATTTGTTAAACAAGCAGAAAATAAAATTGCACACACACACACACACACACACACACACATATGCACAGACACCATATCATTTACTATAATTATGATAACACACAGATCAGAAGAACAGTACATTCTAGAAATACAAGTGTAACCCATAAAAGCCATTTAAAATGCACAGAAATTAAAACTAGAACTATCACTAAATGTGATTAATACCCCCACAAGACTGCTTCGGAAATGAGGATGTTACTAGTAACAGAATATCTTGTAAAAGAATTGAAATATAGAGTAATGGTTGTGGGCAATTAAAGATAGTTGTGGTTCTTGTATATTGCATTTCCTTTCAATGTGGTTGGCCATTGATGAAGTTTTATTGAATTACTCTGTAATAAGTCCAGAAAGACAAAGAAAAGGAACAAAGGGCAATAACTCTATAAATACTGAAGATGGAGTTATAGTTCTTGTGCACTGCACTTCCTCTTTTTGTGCTTGACCATTGTATGAAGTTGTTATGAATTCCAAACAGTAGTTTTAAGTTATGCTCCGGACAAGGAAAAGTATCAAAGGATAGTAACTCTGTATTTTTGTCAAAATGAATTTATGGGTCTTATGCACTGCACTTCCTTTTAAACGTCCTTGACAACTGTATGAAGTTGTATTGAATTCCAAACAGTAGTTTTCAAGTTATGCTCTGGACAAGGAAAAGTAACAAAGGGCAATAACTCTGTAATTTGTCAAGATGGAGTTATGGTTCTTGTGCACTGCACTTCCTCTCAATGTGCTTGACCATTGTATGAAGTTATAATGAATTCCAACAATTAGTCTTCAAGTTATACTCCGGACAAAAGAAAGCAATGGAAAAGTAACAAAGGGCAATAACTCTGTAATTACTTTAGATAGAGTTATGGTTCTTATGCACTGCACTTCCCCTTACTGTGTTTGACAATTGTATGAAGTTGTTTTGAATTCCAACCAGTAGTGTTCAAGTTATGCCCCGGACAAGGAAAAGTAACAAAGGGCAATAACTCTGTAATTAGTCAAGATAGAGTTATGGTTCTTTTGCACTGCACTTCCTCTCAATGTGCTTGACCATTGCATGTAGTTATATTGAATTCAAACCATTAGTGTTCAAGTTATGGTCCGGACAAAAGAAAGCAATGGAAAAGTAACAAAGGGCAATAACTCTGTAATTACTTTAGATAGAGTTATGGTTCTTGTGCACTGCACTTCCCCTTATTGTGTTTGACAATTGTATGAAGTTGTTTTGAATTCCAACCAGTAGTGTTCAAGTTATGCCCCGGACAAGGAAAAGTAACAAAGGGCAGTAACTCTGTAATTAGTCAAGATAGAGTTATGGTTCTTGTGCACAGCACTTCCTCTCAATGTGCTTGACCATTGTATGTAGTTATATTGAATTCCAACCATTAGTCTTCAAGTTATGGTCCGGACAAAAGAAAGCAATGGAAAAGTAACAAAGGGCAATAACACTGTAATTACTTTAGATAGAGTTATGGTTCTTGTGCACTGCACTTCCCCTTATTGTGTTTGACAATTGTATGAAGTTGTTTTGAATTCCAACCAGTAGTTTTCAAGTTATGCCCCGGACAAGGAAAAGTAACAAAGGGCAATAACTCTGTAATTAGTCAAGATAGAGTTATGGTTCTTGTGCACTGCACTTCCTCTCAATGTGCTTGACCATTGTATGTAGTTATATTGAATTCCAACCATTAGTCTTCAAGTTATGGTCCGGACAAGGAAAATGCAACGGACGTCTGGACCGACCGACCGACCGACCGACCAACCGACCACCGGGTGACTCCTATATACCCCCCCAAACTTCGTTTTTGGGGGTATAAAAAGAAAATCAAGAACTAAAATCATCAGCCAATGTTTTTATAAAGAAAACAAAATGTGAAGCTGATAGCAAGGCATGGAGTTGACATTGGAGTGAAATCAGAAAAACCTGAAAGACAAGTTTCAGCATTATTCACCACAGAACAGTGTACTAAATGCAAAGTTGACAGCAAAATTTGATTTGAGTATAAAATTATGAATTTTAATGAATTTACCAAGTCTTAAAGGCAAAGGGGTTAATTCAAAAATAAAGACAAGACACGAAAAAAAGCTTCTTTTTTTCAAATTCCAGAAATCACAGATTACATAACAAAACTGAAACCACTAGTTTTTAAAGTGCTAAAAAGATTACTTTTTTTATCTTTAAAGTTGATATAAACTTAACTGATTATGAATATATTAGATTTAGGCAATAGAGGGTATAAATCACAGTCTTGTGCAAAAGTGGTACTTATATATAAGATTTAAGAAACAGAGTATATAAATTACAATCTTATTAAAGAGTGGTTTTCTACAATCTTAAATTCATGAAAGCAAAGATTATGGTATTCATCAACCTTAAAACAAGTCCGAAACCTTGAATTATGCCATATTTTTCTGAGACATTATTCTTATTATATCACAACTCCATTTAAAAATATCTACCAGTATAACAGCCATCTTACTAAGTCAATATAAAATGCTAATGAATTATTTTACCAAACTATTTGGTCTACTTTTAAGAGCATAGTAAGAAAAATTGTTCATGTTCAAAAGATTTCTTTGCATGTGATGATAAATATTAAGCTGTACAAAAAGTATGAGCAGTACGTTTCTAATACGAGAAGAGTAATGTAATTTGTACATGAAAGTTGTAGATACATGAAAGTGTTGATCGAGTGAGAACATACATGTATATTCTGACAGAACATTGTTTTATTATATATGATCTAAACATAAAGCAATTTTGTGTTAGGTGTTCAAAGCTGTCAAAGAAAAAGATGTGTACCTTCTAATACATATAACATGAAGTTGTAAACAAGATATTCCATTTTTTTTTTGCACACTTAACAACAATATACATGTTCAAGGCGAGTTGGCATAATGCCATTATCACTAGCATAATAAGATCTTGGGTTTCCCCCGGTGCATTATTTCAGGCACAAACTTTTGCACTTGAAAATAACCAATGACCTAACGTAAGCTAACCAGATGACTTGTATGAAAGACTCCTGAGGTCCCTCGCAGAATTTGACCTCTCTCGATGAAGGGATAGTAATTTTAAATCATGTGACCTTTGCTCCTCGGACACAGAAACTGATCAAGATTTTCTATTTGAAATTATATAGTTTCCTCACAAATACAAAAGGTTCAATGATTACATTAGAAGATACACATCTCTATGTAGCCATGTTATTTTATGCATTATATATATGACAGTATGTGTAACATGAACGACAAAATAATGTTTGTGTTATAGTACCATCTAAGCTAGCTGCCAGCCGCCGCTTCCCAACTGCAAAATGTAATACACGTCTTAGTAAAAACTATGCATCTATGAATAAAGCATGATAGTTATATGTATAATATCTTAATCCTTACCACCCTCAATAGTCTAAATGGACTTGTCCCATCTTTCAATCTGGACAAAACCATTCATAATTTTTGGGGATAATTTCAAAACAATTTATGAATGAATAGCAGACCATGATCAGATGGCACGAATCTTGGTCTTCACTGGTGGCATAAGTTGCCACCAGCAGGGTAAAAGTTAATTGTGATTCTAAATTGTGACAACTTTAACACTACAAGATGTACTAAAGGGGACTGAATTGCTCGCCTGTGTTTTTAGATTTACCGGTACTTAAAATTATTTTTAACTTCTTCAAAAAAATTCAACTATTCTTGAGTACAATGTATCATTTCATCAGTTTCAAAACACAGCCACTGCAGTTCTCATAATTGTAAAACAAGTCATTTCCTCTTATCCTTCATTTTACCTCAGACAAATTTTCAATAACGGGTATTCGAAATCTAAAATTAATCTTTCTAGGAAAAAAAATGTAAAGAACATAAAAGAATCTTGGATGAGACTTCCTTTTTAAATAATAATGATAACAATGATAATAATGATTTCTACTCACAGAAAGAATTTTTTTCAATTTTTCATTTTTTTTTCAATCAATTATATTTTAATTATTTTTTTGAAATAAATATATTAATGTAACAATATTGAGCCAAGCAAAACCAAACTTTGTAGACTAAATCAGCATTTCTCTACTTGTATTATTTAATTTAAGTCATTGTTCCATTGTTTATATAGAATGAATTTTATATAGAATGAATAAAATATTAAAGATAATAAACATTGTATAGTTAATATAAGATTATCTTTTTACTAAAAAAAAATATTAAAAAAAAAAGTTTGCAAGCATCGGTGAGAAGAGAACAATAGAAAGCGGAATTCCCTAATCTATTTTCTTGATGTAATCTCAAATAAAGTATAATCAATTAAAACGTTGCAATCTTTTCAAAATGCAATGTATATGAAATGTGCGAACAAGTAAGTCATGGCAATGCAAGCAGTTTTATGTCAGGAAAATTATAACGCAGGCAGTTCTATGTCTAATTTTATGTCTAATGCAAGCATAACTCAACAATGCAGGCAATTTTGCTAACTAAAAAATTAAATGATTTACTTTGTTGAAAAACAATTCTTTATGCAGAGCTGTTCTATACTTGTGGTAAAATATAAAATGGAATGTGTAGTGTTTTTGTTTTTTTTTTTTTTTCTGGACAAAAATCAAACAAATTATAACATTTAAATAAAGACCACATTACAAACACCTGAATATTTGCTTTATCTCAATTTATTTGTTGTTGTTGTCTGTTATATACAACATTGAATGTTGGTGGACAATAATATTTATTTGTACTCCAAGCAGAAATAAGAATAATCATTTTTAAAAATTACACAATACTAAAAGACATTTATAATTTGTTTTCAGTACTCCTTCTTAATTAAGTACCGAGTATAACATTAATAAAATAATTTTCTCTGAGACTTTGGATGAATTTTCAAGATATTTCCTGAAAAAATGTGTTATTGTTATTGATTTGACGATGTGTATCTCTTAATTTAATGCTACCATTAAAGCTGAAAAATATCAACTAAAATAATACTAAATCAAATATTAATCTCTATTCTATAAAGGCCTGCAAAAAAAGTATCTACATAAATCACTTTAAATAGCATAATTTGCTGGTAAATTTATTTAAAAAAAAAAAGGCATGACTGAAAATAAAAAGAAACAATGTCAAAAAATAAGTTTGCTTTTGCATAAAATCAGTAAATTAAATAGATTCCTATAATAAAATCTGTGGAATAATAAAAGCAAGTGGGTGGGGTATAGTGGGTGGGGAGTATAGCGGGTGTTTTCATGTGCAGGTAAGCAGCCATCTTGTCACAACCAGCCTCACATCTACATGTTTGTACAGCATGAATAAATATTTCAATTAAAGCTGATCAATAGCATAAGACGTTAAGCAAGTTTTACCGTTTTTTGTTTTTTTCCCAATTTGAATCTGTTTTTTTCTGCTACAGATGTATATATATATATATAATGCATGAAAGTTAAGAAAATGATTTTCTTCCCTCGAGAAAGCAAAATGCAAGTTCCGAAAGAATAGTAGCAGAGTTAATGCAGCTAAATATATTATCAGATTTATCAAAGCCTCTACATGATACCAAGAAAGAACCATTTCAAACAAATGAAGGTTAAATATGCATTCAAGATGAAACAAAGAGTACAAGTTTTTGAAAGGAAATGTTCGTTTTAAGACAATTTAGCTAATCTAGCATTTAGCACCTTGTTCCAAAACAAAACAGAAAGATTTGACAGCAGACGGCAAATATAATTCTTTTTTTTATCGCAAAACAGGCAGCTTTACAGAGTAGAACTTGCACAAGGTCTTAGACTAAGTATATGTATATATAAATAGCAACAACAATCCATACGGTTGCCTCCCTTCCCGCCGCTCGAGCGTAACGTGTCTACTGCGCGGGAGAACATACTTCTGCGAACAGTGTTGGGCGTGGCATCTCCGGACAAATGAAGACCCACGAAATCTCCGGTGTCAGCTGTACATAGGGAGCAACATAAAAACAAGTATCAGACACAGAATATCTATATTTAGAATCAGTTTGCATAAATTTTTCAATTTTAATTTGAAGAAAAAAAAAACCATCAACACTTTTACCACATAATATAAAGTATAGAGAGTATGGGGAAAAAAAAAAAAAAAGAGACCAAAACAAACAACCAACAATAAAGTAAGTTAAATAATGAAGTTTGATAAAAAATAATCGAAGCAAATACTTTCACCAACTGTAAAGTGCATTTAATGGGAATGAATCTGTAATAAAGTCATTTTTAACAGAAGTTATCCTTCGCTCTACATGTATTTATAATGTGTTTGATTAGGACAGTTATCATTAAAACAGTATGTCTGACTAATTTATTTGAAAAATATGCATGTATCTTATATAATTATTGTATATATTATATAATTATAAGGTGCTCTTTGGGATGCCCTTGACCCTTCAGCATCAAATGATGAGGGGAAAAAAAGTTATGGAAAAGGTAAACTACATTTATTTCTAGAGATGAGATATCCATCCACCTTACTTAGTACTTAGACAGAATAAAGTCATATATAATTAATGAAATAGACTATATATTAACTAACTTCTTCCGAAAAAATAAAGGGCTAACACACTTGAAAAATAATTAAAATGTCTTATGTTTAGAAGTTAATAGTGGTGTCAATTAAATGTATATGTAAAGGTTTATACCTATATTGATAAAGTTATGCATGCATAACATTATGTTCAAGAATATAAAATAATACTTATAATATTATATGACATTAATAATTGCTATGCCATCAAATCTTTTCAGCAAATTTTTTTGTAAAAATGTCAAAGTTCCAGTGATCAAAAGATGCATAAGGTTGGAAACAAATATTACAAATTTGCAGGATTTTCATTATAAATGAAAATTAACATCAATATCCTAATAACTGAATATATGCATTAACACTTTCTCTGCTAACTGACTGCAGCATAAAGTGGATCTACTTTGACCTTGAAACTGTCCAATAATAAAGTTGAGGACCTCAGGACCAAAAAGTCTAAAATACAAGTCAGATCCTGGTGGCAAAAACTTATCAAAATCAATTTCAAGGATTTTTGGGCATTTTGCAAAGTTTATCTAGGACCTTTTGTCAATTTGGAAAGGGGCTTTTGTCCATCTATCTGAGGAGCTTTTGTCCATCTACTGAAGGGCTTTTTGTGCATCTATTATTTTTATAAATCAGCTAAGGTGTTTTTCGTCAAGGGGCGTTTGTTTGATTATATCCTTTTCAAATGTCCAAAGATTTAATAATTCAATTCTATCTTCAGTTCATGTATAATACACGTTTCAAATGTTGCAAATATATAATAATATGATAATAATAATAATAAATATATGCATATATTTAATGCTGTAATGTAATACATGTATTTTATCTTTAATATTGTATGTATACATGAATTGTGCATGTTATACATGCATGTACTGGGGTTCACATATATAAAAACAGAGAGATAGAGTGGTCATAGAGTACTATAGTTACTGACGTCTACACAACATATATCTACCATAATGCACTGATCTGATAGCATGAAAATACAGATAAAAACAGTATTACATCATTAGTATAAACAATGTAACAATTCAACAATTTCTTGCGCAAAGGCACAAAAAACTACATAAATCAATAAACGTTTCAGTTCTCATTTAGATGTAAACCCTTTGCTAACAGTGTTTACAAAAATATAATTTCTTTGTCATTATTTAATGTAGGCCTACATTGTAAAACATGTCATATTTAAAAAATTTTAGTTATATATAAAAATTAATTTTTAAAAACTGTTTTTGGAATTAATTTTGACCCAAGTAAAAAAAAAAAAAAACAGTTCTTTTTCTCCCCAAAGAAAATTTTTAAAACTGAATTAAAAACAAATTTGGGTTTTCAAAAAAAATCAGTGAAACGTAAAAAAAAAAACTTGTGAACACAGCCCAAACCTGTGTTAAAGACTCCCTTTTTTTATAAAACCTATCAATTTAAACCCCAAAACTGCCTGTTGATTGAAATAATACCACAGCTAATATTATCCCATAATAGTTAACAAAACCCAAAATATTGCCTCAAAATGAGGCTGATGTTTTTAGGTACATAAATATATTCATAATACATCATATACTGTCATTCAACACGAGTTTGACTGTTGTTGAAATTAATAAATAAGACTTGGATATAAACAATGATCATAAAAAGGGGAGATTACTCTAATAAGTGTTTCTAAATCATACTTACATTGACCTTTTAGTTTTAAACTGCTTCTGTTCTTGTTACTGCTGTAAAAACAACACATAATAAATATCATCTCAGCTTTATATTGTATTTCTATTTCTTACTTAGACAAAAGTGTAATTTCTGTATGTTCCTAAAACATGTACATAAACATTGAAAAAAAAATATTCCACACATGTCCTGTCAAACAGTAGACCGCCTCATTTACCTTTGACAATTTGTTATAAAATTTTGCTACCTAAGGACGGATGTCTTGACTGATATTAACAAAGTTGGAAATCTTATTTTTTTTGCTTCACTATTATTATAAATCATTTACACGAAAAAATAAAGTGATACATGTTTTCGACTGAATACTCCAGTATCAATTTTGTAAACGATACTTGTACATTTGATCTAGTATTTGATTAAACCAGTTACTTTTTGCCATCCATATCTGGAACAAGAACCAATTTGCCCTGAACAGGGTAAATGGTTAAGTACATAGTAATGCCTGCTACTTTTTATATTAACTATTCAATTATCTTGGTTACCTATGGTGGGTTCTACGTAGAGGATCCGGTGTTTCTGGTATAGCTAGAGATTCCCCCGTAGCACCGGACATCATCAGACTGTCGAGGCTATCTAGCGAGTCACTGAACGAAGTCTTATATGATCCGGTCCGTGCACTGTTAGGTGTTGCTGCTACTAAAACTTTGAAATATTTCTCCTGTTCTACACTGGAGGTAGTCTCCCCACTTGTTGTACCTGAAATAGTTTCATAGTTAAATTTCATAATCAAATTTCATCTTAATTCAGCTAAATAACGCAAAATATCCATGATATATCTAATATATAACTGCTTCTGTAAAAAGAGATCCGTCCAAAATAAATGAATCCAATCACATTATCAACTGACTTTGGTATGGAATTACTATTTAACAAATTTCAAGTTTTGTCATGAACTGTGGTCAACATCAAACATATGTTTATTTTTTGTGTTGGGGGTTGGGGTGATTTTGTCAAATTTCCCTTTTTTGTATTTTGGCTTTAATCCTTGTTTGTTATTGGATTATTAGGTATCTGAATTCTGACTTGAAAAAAATTACCCATTATCTTAACAATATCACTATAAAAACCATCAAGTGAGGTCAAATTAGAATCTTTAGACAGTTTAAAGTTATAATCAGTGTACATGTACATACTTCCGGAGGAATTGTGCTTTAACATGCCCATCAAGCCTCTACTATGGAAACTACTGGCTCGTAACAACAATGCTTTCGTTCTACTGTGTCTCCACGTAATGACAGGGAATCTGTAACAATATAAAAACAACATTATGTTAATAACAACACTGTCTGTCCCTGCATCATGCACAGTAAGGTCAATGCCATAGGTTTTTTTGTGCCATAAAAGCCAAAATTATTTCCTACTTCTAGGGTAGGGTCTTTGTTTATAACCACAATTTGTTTTGGGCTAAAATAGTTGGAAATATTTTCTACACTACCATCAGGGCATTGTATTTTGATAATGTAAAACTTTAAGGCCCTACTATTAAAATCGGGTTGGAGATAGAGTAACAAGTAAACAGTGTTTGTTTGTTTGTCTGGTTTTTACACAGCTTTTGACATATTTTTATTCATATTTCAGGAACTAGTTTACGAGATAATTAGTAGTTATCAATATCTCCTCAAGTAACCGGCTACTAATCCCCCATGATTTCTGAAACAGCAAAGAGACACAAATGATCATTAGACTTGATGCCCAAGATCAATTTTAACAAAGAAATTTGGCTTCACCCTAGGATCTAACTAGCACACGTTTGTAATGTACACATCTTTGTATAAAGTTAAGACTTACCTGCATTGTCTGTGAGTACGAGCAAACCTTCGTATACTGTCATCAGGAACTGATTGTGGCACAACAAATAACGGTGGGTAACTGTTAAAATATACAAGAAAATCCTTACTAATACTTATTTCATTTATTACAAATACATCAAATTGTTTTTCTTCATTGGTTATTTCTTTCTCGAGTATTTATTTTAACCCGCTTAATCTTTCATACTTTCTATAATGGACTTGCCCTTTTCTGAATTTTGAACAATCCATTATTAATGATAGGGTTTTCAGCATTAAATAATCAAAACCAGGAAACAAACAGAGAACAGAGCTTGATTTGACAGATGCCAGAATTAACCCTAAAGAGGCAGCATGGCCTAGTGATTAATGCAGGCTGGCGGAGTGGGTTCAACCCCTTTCAGGGCCAAGACCATATTTCCATGAGCAAGAAACTTTACATTCATTGCTAAGTACTGGTTGGTTTTAGGACAGCTTACTGGTTGGTTCCAGGCCAGATAAGAGTGTTTCAATAAACTTTTTTATAGCTTCCAACATAATCAAACTTAAGCAATTTCTGTATAAAATAACTGCTAGGACTTTTAAAGGTCTACACCTACCTTCTGCATACTGAGAAGTTGGCATTAACAGATGATATTCTGAATGGTTCCTGGTTTGCTCTATCTCTCTGTGAGGCTATTGACAGACTACCTAGACCCTGTCTCACATAGTCCTGGTACCCGGCACGCTCTAATAACTTCTCCAGATTCTTCGGATCAGCAGTCAGATTGGATTCGTACTCGTGCTCATCCACTACTGTTAAAGAAATATTTTATTTTTATAACTCATGTATGAAAATATATACATTATGTGTAAGCATGGTGCTTTGCAATCTGTATTCTATTTATACCCTAAAATTTAAACAGTAACAGCATATAAGTTGTCACAGAGACTTGCATATTTATAAAAGAGCTAAAATTGTGCTGCAAACAATTATTAAAAAGTTATGTTAACCATTAGTTAATCAGCAAAAGATTCTACCCATACGGCCAGTGCAGACCAAAATAAGCACAGTTCGCCTTTTGGTCAGTACCTATTTTGAAATTTTACCAAAATATGATAAATGATTTGTCCAGATTTTAAGATGGCAAGAAAATTAGCATGGTAAATAGTTTTTTCAGTCAGTTCCTATTTTGAAATTTTCCCAAATTTATGATAAATGATTTTGGCTGAATTTTAAAATGGCAGGAAACTTAGAAACTTAGCATGACAAGTGTTCAACTGCACAGATATGCAGTCTGGCCTAGCTTTAATCTCGTGGTACATTTTTAATAGCTCCATTAAACAAGAGGGCCATGATGGCCCTGAAGTCGCTCACCTGTATATAGGCCCCAAGAGTGGGGCCAGTTTAAACCGCCAGGGCTTTATTTGAAACAACTTGTAGAGCACCCATTTACAAGGATGTTTCATGCAAAACCATCTTAAGGTCTAGCTTGTTGAGTTTTAAAAAAAAAAGATATTTTTAAGTTTAAATATAACACATATAGTTTGCAAAGCAATGACACCGCCTAGGGGGCGGGGGCCAGTTTTGCCCCCGGGCTTTTTTTTAAACAACCTTTGAAAGACAACTCACTAGAAGATGGTTCATGCTTAATATCTAAACATAGCTATTTTTTTTTTTTTCAAAGAAGATTTTTTAAGTTTTTGCTATACAATATTAGGAAAATCAATGTCTCGCCTGGGGGGGGGCCAATTTTGACCCTGGGCTTTTATTTTGAACAAACTTTGAAGACACTAATGGAAGATGTTTCTGCTTTTAATATTCTTAACTCTAGCTTTTGGTTTTTCAAAAAGATTTTTAAAGTTTTTTGGCTATCACTAAATAAAATCAATGACCCCCGGCAGGGCAAATTTTGACCCCAGGGCTCTTATTTGAAACAAAACAAACTTGGTAGACACCCATTAGAACATGTTTCATGCTAAATATCTTAGCTCTAGCTCTTTGGGTTCTTTAAAAGAAGATTTTATAATTTTTTTACTATATGCATATAGGGAAAATCAATGCCACTGGGGCGGGGCCAATTTTGAACCCCAGGGTTTTATTTGAACAAACTTAATAGACACTCATTAGAAGATGTTTTCATGCTAAATATCTTTAGCTTCTAGCTCTTTGGGTTCTTTAAAAGAAGAGATTTATAAGTTTTTTACTATCATGCATCAGGGGGAAAATCAAATGACCCCTGGGGCCGGGCCAATTTTGACCCTAGGACTTTTATTTGAACAAAAACTTGGTAGACATCACCCATTAGAAGATGTTTCAATGCTAAATATCTTAGCTCTAGCGTCTTTGGATTTCTTTTAAAGAAGTATTTTTTTAAAGTTTTTTTACTATATGATTTTTGGGAAAAAATCAATGACCCCCGGGGCGGGGCCAATTTGACCCTAGGCTTTTATTTGAACAAAACTTGGTAAGACACTCACTAGAAATGTTTATGCCCAAATATTCTAGATTATCTTGGGTTTTTTAAAGAAGATATTTCAAGTTTTTTCTATCGGTTGCCATGGCAACCAGAGTTCTGCATGGAATTAAATTCTTTGTTTACGGCCGGACGCCGGACGAAGGACGGCCGGACGCCGGACGGACGGACGCCAGACGAAAAGCGATCACAAAAGTCCCCTGTCATTTTTTTGACGGGTGAGCTAAAAAAAAAAACCAGGGTTTTAAAATAGTTTAAATTTCTTAAAATTAAAAACCTCACACCGGGCCCTCCTTCTTTTTCGCTGTCAGATGCCCTTTGGTTTTAAAACTCCCCCCCCTAAATCGTGGTCGGTAAAATTTTTTGGTTTCGGGCTTAACTTTGTTTGGTTTTTATTCCTGCTTTCTTGGCAGTTTTCATCAAAGTCTTTTTGGCAAAATGCCTAAAATATAACAATATTGAAGACTATAAGCTACAGGCATTAATTCTAGATACTGTATTGAATCACCTATATTGTATGTGCAATCAAAAAACAATTTGAAAACAACTAAAGTTCAAAACCATAAAATCATCAAAAACCATAAAATCATCAAAAACCATAAAACCATCATAGAGATTTCTTACTTATCTAACATAACAGTAAAAAAAAAATCGTCTCAGTTCAGAATTTATAAATATATTTTCAAAGGCTTATCAGAAAATGTGAAAACTTACTTTAATGTTTTTATTTTTCTCTTTCTGTTTATGTAGTGTTCGTAGGTTGGGAGATGGCGTGTCCAGTAAATGCGAACGTTTGAAAGACACTTGCTGGATTGCGAAATTTATTGACTAGTTTTCTAAACGTCTCCACATTATCTCCAACCACTTCCTCATCAAATGCTATCTTCAACAGCTGAAATATTAAACAAATTAGTTTTCACCACTGTTTTTTTGTTTTTTTTTATCAAAGAATGTAGCTACATGTATATTGTGTATTGGACTGTCTTAAAGGCACATTATGCTTCAGAAATGGATAATTTTTACACTTATTTCAAAATGGCAAAAATGAGTTTTATATCATTTGAACAATGATTTTAAGAACATAATAGATATCTTTTATCAGAAAAAAGTGGCACTAAATGTGAAATTATTTGTCATAAAAGTCACAAATGTAAACAAAGTACAATGTAGTATTTTGACTTCTATACAAAATACTTTATCAGTGTAAGCAATTATCTTAATGCATTTCAAAGAGAGAAGTGGTTTAAGTACCTGGAAGATATTTGAGCGCAGTTGAAGCCCTCCCTTAACCCCTGGTTTTAAAAGTTGTAAATATTGACATTCAACCCTTCTTC